CTGTTGACGTCGAACGCACCTGTTTCACAAAGTTGACGATGTAACCGTTGAAAAATTCTATGATCCGGCATTCGTCGATCAGGATACTCCGCGCGATACATTCGTAACGCAGCTCTGCCGTTACCATTTGCACGGCCGTACATGTAATGCATGTCTGCTTTTTCTGCATACGTAAAGTCACCCATCGTCTACGGCAGCACAATTGTGATTGGCGCTTTTCCCTACTGCGATGCATCATTTTCAACGGCGGCTAGACATCTACTGCCCTCTACCGGCAATGATACCAACCGATCACTCCATTTCTCTTTCCTTTTATTTCCCCTGTTTACGCCTCACCGCGTCACTTGCGACTATACGTTCCTATACAATAAATCATTGTTACAATGTCCTGTACCTACCATTAAAGTTTGTACCATGAATTCGGGACCACCCTGTATAATTTTCACAATGGCCATCAGTTTTCCCTTTATGAATTTAAAAACCATGACCCTAGTGAGCTACCTAAGTCATTATGAATTATTATCATTTTAACTTTTTTTAAAAAAAAAATTCTCCAACCTTGCTATTTAAAATCCATCATTCTCCGCAATATGTTTTTGTTTGAATCAAAATATTGAAGTTTTTTTTATATTTTTTACAATTAACATACATCAGCATAGTTAAAGAAATTAACATTTTTAAAGATTTGAAACAATGTTTTCAAGGAACATATCTCTAACAATACTTGGGCGAATCATAAAAAATAATTTATGAGTTACTTTACCCTCTATACATCCCCCCCCGCCAAATTTGAAATTAGATGCTAAAATTGATGAGTTTTTGTAAAAAGAAACTGTTGTGAACCAACTGAAATAAGAGAACTGACCGGAAAAGATGCATAAAAGTTTATTACACCACACTAAATAAATTATTTATATTATATAATCAAATATATAAATTTACAAAAAATTTATTTGTTTTATATAATTTTGGAACTTACAAATAAGAAGTTTTATGGCATTCAGCTAAGTTATGTTTTACAATATTTGCAATGTTCGAAATGCTTAAAAGGTATCCACTTAAATCCTATAGGAAGTATTTTCAAACATTTGGATTCTATTTACAGTTTTTCGTTAATTAAGCAACAGATTATTTAACCAATGAATGTCTTATTGATCGAAAAGTTAAATTGTTAATTCAACTCAGTAAAATCTACCGCATTTAGTTTCATATAATTTATTTAATTGAGCATTTTTACCTTATAGAAGACGGTGGGAAGTATAGTTTCTACCAACAGCCTTAATTTTTAAATAATGTTGCTAAGCTATTTTTTCCCCTATAATTTCAGCGACCATTTTCTAATAATTTCAGAAAATAAAAAAAAAATACCAATGAAAGCATTTTTTTAAGTAAATGCTTTAAATAGTAAAAGGTAGAGGGGTGTCATATTATATATTTTCTCTAATTCAACAATTTAAACTAGTAAAACTCTGATTAAAATTTGCAAATCTCTAAATAATCTGTAACTGCAACACCCAGCTAAGAACTCTAATTAAAATTCACTTTACAATTTACTAGAGACCTCAGGGCGTTGATGCCAACTTTTGACGAATTTTTTTTCAAGGATTTGAAACTCTTTCTTTTTTTTTTATTAGAACTTTCATTTAAAAAAAATTACTTTTTTATGCACGTAGTTGCAAACATCTGTATTTTAATATTTTAACAGGACTTGCATGTCCTTAATAAGATAAGAAAACTGTGGTATCAGTATCGTAATTATAAAGTTATCATTAAATTTAAAATCAAAAATTTGAAACCCAACATTTCGCGACCACAAATTTACAAGTTTTTGAAATTAAATATTGAATACTGTGGTGAATATAAACGTATTAAAATACATTTTCTTAGTTTTGCGGCCACATTTTTAATTTCTTGAAGACCTTACGAACTCTATTTAAAATGAGGTATCAGATGTCGGTAGTGATGATGAGAATAGTAAAATAAGGTTACAAATAAAGGAATAAAGCGAAGAAACTTTAGTAGCCATATTTTGGCATAAATAAGTAACTGATCGCATTGGAAGTGAAAGAACGTGCTTGCAAAAATAAGTTTCGGAATGTATAGAAACATAGGGATTAGCAAATCATGCTTATTCAAAAATACCATGTAATCTAAATAAGAATGAAATGACCTTTAATAATAATAATAATAAAGATACCAGTAAAATTTACTTTTATCATATTATATATATATATATATATATATATANTACCGTCTTGTCATTCATGCAGTTTCTTTATAGTTGTTTTCAATTGTTTCACTTTCTATGGCGAGGGAATTTGACATTATTTTTAACTTTCGCCATATATATAAATTTTTATTGCAGCCCAATTTTTTCGAAATATGTCTACTCCCCCCACCCTATTTTAAGGGTCAGTATTGCAAATATGTAAGAAAAAAAAAAATACATGTTTATTCAAAGTACGACTTTGTATCTGATTTCGTAACTTAATTAATAATTAGCACTTATTAATTAACATATTTGAGATCAACCCCAGGAAGCATTAAGATTGTCACTTAGTTCATGAAAATCCGATCATTAGAACGAAAGTTATTCAGGGTGATATCTTTTTCTTTTTTTTGACGACTGTACACACTATTGTTTGACCTTCACTAATAATTGGTTTCCTACTCCCAAAGGGGTTAAAAATAAACCTAATCAATTACTTCGTAACTAATTTTCTACAAAAACTATTCTAAATAAATATTTAAACTAAAATAGTTATAACTATTCCATAAACTATCAACAAAATGAATATAACTAATCATTGTACTCACCTTAAATTATTTTTAAGACGCAAGAAGAATCTAAACGAATACTTAACGTATAACTAATTATACGATATTACTTCATTCAGACAACTTATGAAAATTAATTTTTCTAGTGTTGCCAATTGAGATAGAGAAATACTCTGCCACAAATGAATGTGCTAAAAAAAACACGCTCTTAAACCTTTACTATCTAGATAAAATGAAGAATTTCCGCATTTTATTTAGGCTCATTTCTTTGTAACTATTTTAATTGAATTAATTCTCATTAGTCATAAAATCTTTTGATTATTGAATTCTCATGTATTATAAAAGAAAAAGAGAGGAATGAATATTGTTCTATTGCAGGGCGTACGTGTACCGCCTGCGTTACAAGAAAGCTGATCACTTTGATAACAAATACATATCTTCAGACTTTGTAAGCATGGATGACCGTCGTGCCATTATGGGGAAAGAGACCGTTTTACCTCTCACAAAACGAGAGAGGAGGAAATACGTGAGCACATTCTCTGTTCGAATGGTGGCTGCCGAGAAAAAGAAGCTCTCTGTGTCAGGTATGGCCCTCCTTACATCCGGCATACAAATGGCCCTCTATATCATCCTCGACTATTCACTCTACCATCTTCTAATCATCATCAGATTCTACGGAAAGATTCAATCAAAGGGACGGCGTGAGTTACATTCTCAAATATTTCATTCTCACACACAGTTTTACAATTTATTGCTCCGTTAGCTTTCCGGCTCAAAATCTACACTCCCTCGCCAAATTATGAGCCGCATTCTAAGATTCTATGTATTGTCGGGTGATACTCTTTACATCTGTATAGTTTTTATGTGATTGTTTGCACTTGCTTAAGTTCGTGTATCAACTGGTCAACATGGTCATCTAATACGTTAAAAATAAATACAAAAATCTTCCGAATAAAAACCCATGACATGTATGTTTAAATATAAAAGTATTGCCTATAAACTCGTGTAAAACTTGTCACTATTAAAAAACTACAATGTGTCTAATGACTTGATCCAATTATTATAATATACTAATATAATGCTTGATATAATAAATATTCAGTATTGATATAATGTATCGTCTACTTCATCCATTCGTCGAATTTATATTATATATCGTCTAATTTAACCAGTATCGTCTAATACGAACGTAAACAAGTGCAGTAACGTAAAAACAATAAAGCTGTATAGAGTATCACCTGAGCATTAAGATTTTGCATAGAATCTCTTAATTTGGCCAGGGTGTGCATAAAAGGTAGGGATGACATGTAGAAGGAGTTTGATGGAGTAAAAGAAATTACGATTCGAATGTTGGTTTTCAGAAGATTTTTACATAAAGCTAAAATAAACCAAAATATTGACTAGTCACATGAATACGAGCATTGAAATTTTGTGAATTACTACTAAAACGTGGAGGAAGAATGCTTGAAGAGACATATTTTACCTCCAAATTTCGGACACATCAGCGCAAGAAATTCTTCAAAAAATAAGTATTTGGAGTCACTATAAACACATTAAAGAGTGTTCTAGAGACGATATCGTGGTGAATTTGTTATTGAAAAGCATTCTGAGCAAAACAAAGAATGCTCTTTTAACGGATAATTTGTTATCCATTCAAACGTTCTATTTATGGGTAAAGAATTTTTTTCACCCAAACGAAAGATAAATTTATTTGAATTAAAATAATACTCCCGATATGAAAGAGTAAACAATACATTTTGAAGGAGAAAAAAAAGTCAATGAGTCATGAAATATGTCACCTCTAGCCCATATAAATTATTTTTATAAATTTTTCCTGCAGTTTGTTATTTAAAAAGAATTATTATCCATATTCGGCAACAAAAACGTCTGTAAATGCCATTTGGACGACGTATTAAAAATAAGCATATTATATTTTGTTGTTTAATTTTCGAAAATTTATGTTAGCTTTAGCACTTGTTATTATTTAAAACATTTTTCTTCAAAACATTTTGCAGCGATGCCGGAGACACTTTTTTTCAGATCAAAACTATTAGAATTTGCATAAAGATGAGGAGGTTTTGTTGATATTTAGACAAAGAGCAACCAAATGGGCTTGCAAATTAGAGAATGCAAGTTTAAATGAAATTTTAGAGTTTGCCAATTCGCAGAAAATAAATAACTGCATTTTTTTTTTTAATCAACGTATTAAGCTAATTCACGGGATCATCCATTTTATTTCATTTTATGACCGTCGTTGAACAGCCGACCCAATTTCATGAGTTTACGATTACTCACGTTCAACTCCGTAGCCTTGTCATTTTGAACCCAATCCAGAAGACAAGGGAACTTCTGGATCGAGTATTGGGAGAAATTTGCCTTCGTAGAGGACTTTTCGATGAAGCTAACCCCCCATTTGCGTTACTCTGAGAGGAGAACCACGAGAACCTCCCGCTGGTAGCCTGACGACAAGAGGACACTAACGCATGATTCGTCTACCTCTGAGGACGTTTCACGTCAGCACTGTAGTCAGTGCAAGCCGGAATTCGTGTCGACTGGGATTCGAAAACGGTTCGTCTCATTGGAAGGCGAACTCTCTATCCCCAGAGGCATCGCTGCTCCATCCATTTTATTAACATAAAGCATCATGTTGCATTTAAATGGTCTTTAGAGCACCTCCATTGAAAGGTAATGACATTTTCTTTCTAGTTCCATCCGGTATTCAACTGGAAGTGAAAGGAAGTGGAGTTCTGGCAGATATGTACCGGCAGATAATCACTCAATTCGATCCCCTGATGAGTACAGTTCCCGAGTTTGACACCACCGAATGCTTACCTGATCCTATACCTATCGATCTAGACAAATATCAGAAGATAGGTAAATTTCATCTTCCTTTTCAGTCATAGCTTCTTTTGTAAGCAATCATGTCTTACAATATTTGAGTGATATTCCCCCCTCCCTCTCTCTGTTTTGATAACCTTCATTTACCATATTTATTCTATTATTTATGTTCTAAAAATAGAACACGTCCAAGGAAGTCATTTTGACTGCTTTTTAATTTCAATTAGAAAAACAATGATGCCGCCATTTTTCAGCGACTTTTTTTACAACATGTAATTTTTTTTTAGTGTTAATATTTTATTTATAACTTGTCATATAACTGTAAATAATATAAAAAAATATTAAGAAAATAATTTCAAACACATTTCCTTACACATTAGTTATTCTTTCACAATCCAGTCATTTTGACTGCTTTTTAATTTCAATTAGAAAAACAATGATGACGCCATTTTTCAGTGACAGCATGTAATTTTTTTTAGCGTTAATATTTTATTTATAACTTGTTACATAACTGTAAGTAATATAAAAAATGTTAAGAAAATAATTTCAAACACATTTCTTTGCACATTAGTTATTCTTTCACAATCCAGTCATTATGACTGCCTTTTGGGCAATATACTAAGCTTCAGTCTTTCTATCGTTAAAGGTCATACATGTTTTTTATCGATGCATTGTTTAATGGCTGTTCGAACAATTTCCGGTTGCCTTCATTAAGTGAAAAATATAAATATTGGGCATTCCAGTGGTAACACATAATTTCATGAAGATACACATATTTCAGCCTTTTAAAAAGATTCGTAAAATGTATTTAAAAAATGAAAACAGAAATATATTTTGAAGCTCGATATCAATGGGAGACTGATGAGCAACTGTTCTTTCCCATTTCATCTCTCTTAAGTGATCACCCTTTGTACAGTTGCTTTTGACGACAACATGAGAAAAGAATCCGTTTTGGTTTATATAATGTAGATAAGCAGACAACGGTAATACCAAAAGTGAAAATAATACGTCCTTTTCTAAAATGGTACTGGAATTTTATGTTTAATTTCGAACAAATGGAAGTAGGAAATAAAGAAATATTATATTAAATTTATAGAAATTGAAAAATAAAATTATCTATCAAAATTGGAAATGGCTCTTAGAGATGTTCTATAAATGTCTTCGAATTGTCCAATAAAAGTCTAATTCATTAAGAACCAACGAAACTGACTGCAATTCTTGAAACATTATATTTAGAAGGAATATGTAGGAATTTTTATAGAAAGCATTTTGAAGTTATAAAGTTTTGGATCCTCTTTTTGGCAACAACTCTATCGCAATGATCAAATATAAAAACTATTTTAAGGCCTCCTTAAACAGTTTTTTTTCTCATATTCATTATAGTTTCCCGTTTTCTCTTCAAAAACGCTTTTTCGAAAATGCAATTAAGGCAACTCTAAATTTTTTTTACTTACTTATTTAAAGGTTTGCCAGAAGGAAAAGTACTCAAAAGTTATGTGAAACAGTTCACTTTAAATCAGATCAGAATTTTTTTTTTATTTATTTGAAGGTTTGGCAGAAGGGAAAGTACTCGAAAGTTATGTGAAACAGTTCACTTTAAATCAGATCAGAATTTTTATTTATTTATTTGAAGGTTTGGCAGAAGGGAAAGTACTCGAAAGTTATGTGAAACTGTTCACTTTAAATGTATATTACTTCAGATCAGAATTTATTTGTCAGATCAAAAAAAAGTTTTCTTATCCGGGAATCATCTCAACGGTACTTTTTTCGAGGGAGTGTGGCTAGAAACGATGGAGTAACTATTTGCGGTTCAACCCTGAGCTGACCATAAACCCATTATGAGCCGTTAATCCATGCGTCGACGTAATTTAACCATATTATTTAATCATATTAATATCATACCATTACCGCACTCTATATAGTTATTTTGACGCCCGGTGGCTGAGTGGTAGCGCATCGCGCTCCCGTGCCACAGGTCCTGGGTTCGATCCTCGGGCCGGGCAAGGTCGACTCAGCCTTTTATCCCTTCAGTGGGTCGATAAATGAGTACCAAGCATGTTTGGGAACTAAACACTGGGGGTTTCGCGTTCGGCTGACCACTCAACCGGAACATCTGCTCCGGCACCCCAGAGCCCGAGATCAAGAAAACTGTGATGGGCACAGTAGGCCTTGGCCCTCTATGGGCTGTCGTGCCACTGAGTTTTAGTTTATATAGTTATTTTATTCAGCTATTATTGTGTTTTTTCATTGCTTAGGAAACCACACTTGGAGATACGGCCGATACATTGCAAATATTTTTCATCCCGAGAAAACTCGGGCTTAGCAGATTATTCGTCGGTGCATTTTGTTTTATCACGTTTTTACTCGGCCGGAAGCAAAAAACATAATCTGCTTTAATTGGAACTTTGCCAAGTTTTATTTGGGAGTTTTGCTGTTGGACTGCATATATGGATCGTTGTTGAATTTAGATAGCAATAATAAGAGTTAAAAACGGCGTATTCCTTCACTGACGCTAGAAAAGTTTCACTTTGTGTTTTAAGAACTATCATACAAAGACTCATATTTAACTTTTTTTCATTTTGCCCGAAATAACTCGAGATAGTAAACTGATTTTAAATTAAATGTTTCTTACACATAAAAAAAAGGTTTTTTTTTTAAAAATCGACTTAAAATTTCTGCATTATGTTTTGTTGTAGTTCCTCTTATTTATTAATAAAATTTAAAAAAAATAAAAAAACATTTTTTCTTTCTTCAAAATAAGTGGTAAGGGAAGTGGCGGTGTCAACAAAAGATTGAAGTTGTGTTTTAAGGAATCGTCTCTGTTCCAGATATTTTCTTTAATAAAGTTTATTTTGAAATGTAATGCAAGAATTATCAAAAAAACCTTTTTATTTAAGAGAAAGAGCTCTCTTCGCGAGAATAATAAATGTTCCTTCTGTTCATGACAAAAATAGATACCATATATGATTACATTATTTACTCGTTAATAATATTCATGCACACAGGGTTCGAGGATTCGTTTTTTTAAACACAATGTTATAATCCGAGGCAAATAAATAATACAGCGTCTAATTAACATTTTATGTAAGACTTTCTGATTCAACGCTGAGAAAGAAAAAAGCGAGATCGTTAAGAAGTAGTTGAATTATTAATTTTATAAGACTTTTTTAAATAACTAATCTGAGTGAGGCCTTTTTTTTAAGTAACGGTATTAATTAAATGCCCTGATTTTATTATACATTTTTTAATGGAGGGAGGAAAAAAAAACAAGCTTACGGAGTAGATCTTTGAATAGGAAGGAGGAGCTTTTTCATTTACATACTATACTCATTTATCTGCCATGAGTGAGGTGGATATTTTTTGTGAAATATATATATTGTAAGGAGAGTTGTTATCAACAATGTCAACCTTTATTTATGAAAAGGTATCCCCACCATACAATAGAGTTAACGTGTCTTATATACTATTGAAATGGAATTGTATTTTTTGTTGTGGTGGATACACTGCAGTACTCCCCCACCAGCAGAATTATATCTGTGATAGAATTCGATGAACGGATACCATGAATTGTTTCACTGCTGTTTTTTGAGGAGAAGTCGGGAGAGCTGTATTAATATCACCGTACTTTTGCTGATCGCGAGAGCAGAATTAGGTTCACGGTCGTGTTTGCTCTTGTGTTGCCCTGAGCAGTCGAGTGTATACAGGCTGACGTTGTGTATGATCGAGACTGAGTAGCAACAGCGTGAGGAGGTGGATAATGTCGCAGTCACAACAAGTAGCAAGTCAACAGTTCAATGTGGATCGGCCATCGAAGTAGGCGTGTTCAGATCGAAGTGGGCGTTACTGTCAAGTTAAGCGTGTTCATATCAAAGTGGGAGTTTCTGTCAAGGTAGGCATGTTCACAGGTCACCAATGTGGGGAGAGTAGATATCAACCATCATCTANTATATATATATATCAAAAAATGTAATTATCAAAAACAAAACAGTTTAATTTATTCTTCTATTTTTTAGCAGGAAGTTAACACCATTATAGTATGATGTTCAGCAGGAAACAAAATTAGATTAAAATATGTTATGTTGTATGTTAAATCATTGAAATCATAAAGATTTAAAATGAAGAAATCGAAAATCAATAAAAATATCAACAAAAAAAGAATATGATGTATGACGAGGGAAAATAAAATTCTGAAACTGCGAGGGAAAGTTTTAAAATTATTAGTTTATAGGTACAAATAATAACCCGTAATTAAAAAAGAAATGAAAGCTTCCAAAATATCATGAAAATAACAAAATTTTTAATCTCTCGGGAATATAAAACTGAATTTCGTTTAAAAGAAATTTAATAAGTCAAAAATCAAGAAAAAAGGTTTTTGTTTATTTTAAATCAGAAGATGGCTATATAAATTTATGATCCTTTTCATCGTCGAAGTTTAAACAAAGGGAGACAATTAAGTCACGCGAATTCATTCGTATTAATGAGAATGATAACTTTTATTAGATGTGTGGAGGAGACGATAGTGGAGGAGACGACTCCACTTATACTGAATTAATGTATGATTATGACAGCTCCAATATTTCAATTCTTTGGTGTCCTTCTTTGACAACGTGTAAGAGAAAGCTCACAGGCACGATGAAAAAGAAAATTATTTAGTGAACATTCATAACTAGTAAACAATTAAAAATAAACTCATCTGCGTTTTTTTTTAAATTAACTTACTCAGCTAAATAAATTTGGCTGTAGAATTTATAAATTAAAATATAATTTATTTACTAAACTCGAATTTTTAATAGTTTCAATGCTTTTCAATAATTCCTTTAAAAACATTTTCTCAAAAACGTAACGAGCAATAATTTAACTGAGTTACATTGGATAAATATTTTCGTTTGCGTAATTAAAAATATTTGCCCAAATTAAAATCACTTTTAATGAAATGGTGTGAAAAACATTTTTTCGACGAAGCCGACTCGTTCATCAGCTGGAAATGAGAGATTCGAATCGGTTATTTTAAACCAGAATTCATAGTTGTCATCTTTTTAATGATCTTTCCGGTCTAAATTTACAAATGAAGGAAACAACAAAAGTTAATTGATGGTAAAAAAACTTTCTCTCGTTGAATTCTTTGATCGTTATTAAAAGTTCCCCTTTAATCCATTTTCGGAAATGATTTGCTTTTAAGAGGGATTTAATGGACCTCTTGCACTAATCTAATAAAAGAGGGGGAATTTAAATATCTTCTTCTTCTTTGGATAGACATTCATTCGATGAAGTTAAAAGATGGCAGTTAAACTGCTCTTAAATGAAAATGCAAAGCTTTCACTTGCAGTCTACAAAATATAGGATCTTTGGCTGAGAGAGTCCAATTTGCACCGACTGGGGCATTCTGTCGGGGTCACAAAGTCTTCCATTTCTCTGGAGATGGATCGATTCAGGTGTCCTCCCTTTTAAAATTGTGATGTATTTGTACGGCAGAATTCTAATTCTTGGCTATAGATGGCGCCACTGTAAAACCCTTAAAATAGATACGATCTGCCTTGACAACGAACATCTTCATCAGCGGGATATTAATAAAAACACAAGATGGGTTGAAAATTTAGTTTAGAGGACCAGTAACTGAAATATATTATTAGTTATATAACCTAATTAGGTGACTTTTTTTTAAGGTTACATTACCGAGAGTGTTACACAATAAAGATAAAATATACTATTTTCTGACAAAAATACTGACATGAAACTAAAAAAACCAAAACAATATACCCACATCGATTCCTGAAAGATGGAGTGAAATTTTCATTGGATCGTTATTTTCGAGCCTTCAATACACTATTTCCAAAAGAAATAAGTGTTATTAATAAAGATTAATAAGAAATGGAGTAACATTCTTATTTTGAGCAATATATTATCAGGGTTATTAAATGCTACTTTAAAATGAAACCTTCATATTAATTATTTTCTTGTGCACGTTGATTTGGGGTCTATACCGATTTACAGTCATGTTATTAGACGCACTGTAAGATTCTATGTATTATCAGCATTGTTTTTACTTGGATGAAACCTTGTTCACGCTCCTCTATCCAATGGGTTAACATTGTAACGCAATACGTTAAGAATAAATACAAATAGGAAGTATATAAAAAAAATGTCACGAATAAAAACCCATGACATGTATGTTTAAATATAAAAGTATTGCCTATCAACTCGTGCAAAACATGTTATTATTAAAAAACTAGAGCTCGTCTAATAATTGGATCTAATTATTATAATATATTATTATAATGCATGATATAATAAATATTCTATATTTATATAATATATCGCCTAATGTATCCTATCGTCGAATTCATATTATAAATCGTCTTATTTAACCAACTGATACACTAAAGCAGTGTTTCCTAAACTTATGACTTTTATGTACCCTTTCTAAATTTTTCGCAACGCTGTGTACCACTGATAAAAAAGAAATGAATGTATTTTTTAAAGATATATGTTTATTTTTCAATTTTGGTACAAAGTTTTGTTAATAAATGTATTTGCATCAGTGAGAAGGATGATATTGTTTTTTTGCTGTGATAAAAAAATAATTGCACAAAAGTTTAAAATCACGACTAGCTGTTGACACCACTCATTATTGAATGTTAGCTGTGCAAAAAAAAAAAAAAAAAAAAAAAAAAAATAGCTAGTAGAAAAATACGTAATCGTAGATTTTCATGGCTAGCTTTGTTTTTAAGTAAAAAATTTTTGAAATTTTGTTTGTAGCAAGATATTTTGCATAAGAGCGTTAAACTGTCCCCGTACCCTTGGGGGTACGCGTACCACACTTTGGGAATCACTGCACTAACGTAAGTGTGTACCAGTTTCAGCCACGTAAAAACACTAAAGCTGTGTAGTATGACCTGATAATTAAGATTTTACATAGAATTGTAGAGTATCTAGCACTACAAAAATATAATAACAATTCACTAGTATATAAGACATGTTAACTCGGTTCTATGTCTGGATACCTTTTCATAGATGAAGGTTGACATAGTCGATAGCCACAGAATCGACTATGTCAACCTTCAAGCTGATCACCTCGGTGGTGTCGTGTGGATCTATTACGAGTGCGTTCCAGTAATAGATCCACACGACAGTTTTTGACACAGGTTTCTTTTTTCTTTCCCAATATAAGAGACCATGTTTTTCAAAGATTTTTCATTTCAGGTTTCCTCTACATCTTATGTGTGTTGATGGTGTTTACGGAAAGTTACGGTTTAAGACTAAGACACATCATCTGTTCACTATTCTATCCCGAGAGAGAGAAATTGCGGACAGTTTGGCTGTATAACAAGATCTTGAGATCGAGGGGTGGCATTCGCAAATACCTTCGCAGAAAGTTGCGACGCAAATTTTATGGCGACGACACCACCGAGCAAGTGTCCCTCGTCTGGCGCCTCATCAACAGATACACCCTTCTCTGGAAGCTCTTGAAATTCTTCGGATTTGTCAAGCAGTACTGTTTAGTCTGCAATGAAGTGGCTGATGATAGTTTTAGACGGTGCATGATACCTGGTTGCAAAGGTATTCCAGTTTAAATTTTAACAGTACATCCATAAGGAGAAAGAATAAAATCACTCTTTTAAAATTTATATTTGTTTTCAACTGACTATAAGATATTTGAGTTCTGATTTGACAAAGTGAAAAAAAATCGTCTTCTTTTCCTCATAAATATACGTATAGTGCTGAAATGCCGATAACTGGTACAGACATTAAGAAGTAGGACTTCACGTTTTAATTTCGACGAAAAAATATTTTTTTATATTCTTAGATATTAATCGCTTTCCTTACCGATTTTTTTAAGGAAAAGAAACGTATTTTTTTATTTCATTTATAAATACAAGGAACTGAAACAAAACATAATAACACACGTTGTAAGTTGAAATTTTAATTCTTTTTACGTGAAAAAATCATCCATCAGTTTACCTCCCCAAATGATCTCGGGCAAATAATAAAAGTTAAATATTAGTCTACGTTCACATCTTCATAATTTGAAAAATCATCTGCGTTATTTTCGCTCGCGAGCAAAAAAAAAATTTTTTTTTTTTTACTCTTTTTTTTTTCCTATGTAAATTCATCCACCATCATCGTATATACAATTGAAAAAAACCCCAAACTGAAATTGGCAAACTTCCAATCACAGCAGATTATTATTTGTTTTGCTGTCGGCCGAATCAAAACGTGATAAAACAAAGCGTACTGACGAATTCTGCTATGCCCGAGTTTACTCGGTATAATAATTATTTGCAATATATACATAGCCGAGTTAAGTCGGGATAATAAAGGGAAGCGAATAATAAAAGTTTGGAATTGGTAAAATATTAAAAATTGTCTCCCTTTTTTATGAACAAAATTGACGAAATTTGTGACACAAAGAGGGGGGGACATTCAGTTATAAAATTCCTAGATTTTCCCTTTTCAAGATAGAAGAGAAGACCCTCCACGGATCTGTCTCGAATTTTCTAATTTATTTTCTAAGTAATTAAAATTTTTTCCATTTATTTATTAAAATGTGTTCTATTGAACTTAGTGATCGAATTTTGAAGTTGTAAATAAATTAAGACTTGAACTTAGAAAAACTTCAAACTTAGAAAAAAAAGTTTTTTAAATATTGACCTAATTAAAATTGCAAATTCGATAACATAGTTCGAACATATTTTAAGGGGTCACAGTACCCAAAAAATGACCAAAATATCGATTTTTTTTTCATTGCTTATAATAAAATTTCAAACTATTTCAAATGCACTGAAAAAAAATCTTCTCTCTATCTACATTTTTAAAAAAAGTTATGAATAATTTTAGATTGCTCTAAAACAGAAACTTGATCAGCACACAGACTTTAAACTGCTTTTTCTCGTAGATGGTAATTTTGTGTTTTAATCTTAATTAAATCCCTTAGAAATTTTTTTTTAAGATAAAGCTTTGAAGTAAACTTTTTTAATACAATACACTTATTTAAATTGTGCATGGAATAAGCCTTTTATGAGGTATTAAAATTTTTACAGCATGTTATATATACCTAACAGGAATTTTTAACCTGTTTCATTCTACTTTTTTGCAAAATAATTTATAAAAAAATTTCTAATTCGTATATCAACAAATGAATGCACAAAATTGTTAAGATGAATATTATAAGCAGTAAGAAAAAAAATGTTTGAAAATATGCTAAAATAAAAAAGCCTTAAAAATTTAAAAATTTTGAATTTTTTCAATTTTTGTTAAATTTTAAAAAAATGTAACAGATTAACTATTTTTTGAAGATAAATTATTCATTATAAGTTAAATGAGCACGTAAAGCATCCACAAAATGGATGATTATACCTTTATTTAAAAAAAAAAGAAATGTTGCAAGAGTAGTGTGACCCCTTAACGAGGGAAATGAAATAAAAATTTTCCATTAATTAGCCAATGAATAAAGAAGGAAATTCTGGACAGAGACAATTCTCCTTTAGAAAATTATATATTTAAATAATTCCTACCTCGCGACTGTAATCCGCGAGTGAGCGAACATTTTCTCCTGTGCCCGGAACATGAAAAAAAGAGAAGCCCCAAATGACATTTCACTCAAAAGCTTGCTGCTATTAGTCTTTAATGTTAAAATAACAAATCTAAAAATAACGACTGAACAACAGGAGGGCTATATTTAAAATAATTAGTTCAGCACTTGAAATATTGGATTGGCCCCATTACAAAATGCATTATCCCCTGTTTATCGTAAAATTAATATTTGAAAAAGAAATATCGTATTTAGAGCTTCACTTCTTCAAAATTATCGGATAAAAATTATGACACATTTATTTATGCAGAGCTAAGTGAAAGATCATAATAAATAGGTTCATTAAGAAATTTTAGTCAGACTGAGTCATTATTCTTCTCTTTGTTCCAAACTAGTCTACAACATGGGATGATTTTATTTTATTTTATTTCCGTCGTTGAACATTTTGGGTTTACGACTACTAATGTTCAACTCCGGGGAAATTCCTGGATCAGTACCCCCAGAGGTATTGATTTGTTATGGGAACATGGAGGACTTTGAGACTCGACAGATTTAACGTGCATCAGTCACACACGGAGAGTCTTCGTCCGGCGGGATTGAATCCACGAACTTTTGGGCATAGGCCCAGTGCCCTACCAACCAGGCTATCCAGGGCTGAAACATAAGATGATTTTATTTTATAATTTTATAACCGTCGTTGAACAGCCGAACCCATTTTATGGATTTACGACTACTCAGGTTCAACTCCGTAGCCTTGTCATTTTGAACCCTATCCAGAAGACAAGGGAACTCCTACATTGGGAGAAATTTGCCTTCATGAAGGACTTTTTGGTGGAGCTAACCAGCATTTGAGTTACATGCGGAGGAAGACCACGAGAACTTCCCATAGCATAACGGCAAGGGGACTCTCACCCATGATCAGTCTGCCACTGAGGATATTTCACGTCAGCACTGTGGTCTGTGCAAGCCGGATGCGGAATTCTTATCGAGTGGGATTCTATCCTGGTTCGCCTCATTGGAAGAATCGAGTTTTCCAGTTGACTTTTTAAGAGGTGGCATGGAGTGTCTCCCAGGTTCGAATCACTGGGATGCTCACACACCGTCAAAGGCAGTAACCGTGGAAGGTTCTTCCTCTTTATGTAACGCGGGGGTTAGAAATCGATCTCGAAATGAGTTCGTCCCGTTATTTGATCCGCCAGTGTTCTGGTTCAAAATTAAAAGGAAATGTAATTAGCCTAGGATCGACCCTCTTTAAATTTCAAAGGAAATCATTTCACAGTCTTGGTGGTTTAGTACAACAAGCGCATATTTTTGAATTCAATGGTGGATTCAAATAAATTTTATTTTTTAAAAATATTGATTAAAACGAAGTATTTATTGCAGGTCTTTATTGTCTTTCGTGCTTCGAAGAGTTGGATGGATTGTGTACATTGTGCATGAATCCCGTCTGTTACGGAGATTTCTCTGATCTCAGTGAAGAAAGGTTGGATATTTAATTGAAAAGATCTCTTACACTGTAAACACCAAACCATTTTACGGATTTCAGTCTCGTGATCAGATCAATTTGGTGATTCATATAACGTATAACAACCCATTTCTTCCAATTTGTTCGAAAGCTGCTAAAATTTTAAGTATTTTTTTCATATATTTTTTCACTTTTTTCTTTCTTTAAATAATGATTATTTGTTCATTGTTGAAAAATTCAGGTTTCTCGAGATATTCATTTTATAAGCTCTTGCATGTGAAAAACAATGATAAAAAAGCTAATAACCAGATATAAATCATACAATTTACAACGAAGTCTTTAAAAAAATTGAAGGAAAAGAGAGAAAAGCTGGTTTGACATAAGATTATCATTATAGATTGTCAACAAGTAAAATTACTTCTCCACATATTCTACGTTCTTTCAATTGTATTTGATTATTTTTCAAATGCGTTTCATTTTGTGACGCGTCAGAACAATATATTTTCTTATAAACAAAATGATGATGAATGAGCGAAAAACAACTATGCGAAACCTTATCATAAAATCGCACGAACTTATCCATCAGAGAACTGAATATTTGAATTCGAACGAATCTCTTTAAAAAAAATTCTATAAAACGTTTGTTACTAATTTTTTGAAAAAATAGAACTTATAGCCTTTTATCTCCATTTTTTTTCAATGTTTTAATATCAAATTAGAAAAGAATTAAAGTAATGAGTATGTTTTTTTTTTCATTTATTCTCAAATTATTTTTACATCGGAGTTTTACTCAGCCAAAATCAAGAAAATGAATGCTATATTGACACAAAAGCAGAAGAAAAATGCTTTATTAAAGTAAATTGAATTTTATAAGTCAAATATTTAAAATACAAAAAAAATATTTTTCAAAGTTGTTTTTACATTTCTCTAAGAATTACCATTAAATCTATATAACTAGAAGTGGAGGTTACATTAATTAAAGAACGAGTAATTTGATTCAGTTAATTCCATTATTAAAATTGAATTTATTTCGTTTTTGTTTCTTAAATAATCATTCATTAAAGTAGATTTAGTTTTTTGTGGTGTAGACATTTGTAATTTTCTTTCCAATTTAAGATAGAAGGTGAAAATAAAAAACGATTTGTTATACGATGGTTTTAAACAATGGTTTCGGTTTTTAAAACACCACTATTAGAATTATTTTTTGCACAAAGATTTTTCGTAACTATTCGAGTTTTTAAAATGATTCTTATTTTTTGTTATGAATTTCGAACGGTAGTATGAATGATACAAATTTCAATACAACATATCTGCAAAAGCAATATTGCAATGTCTCCATATATATATATATACAAAAAAAATCTTATTCAAAATTTCTGTAAGAAACATGTTAAAATTACTTAAACATTTTTTTCTTTTATTTCCATAATTCTTTTTAAAATTTTCTATTTTTTATATATTACTTTAGAATAATTTTTTACTCAAAAATGCGACTTTGCATCTTTTATTTTATCAAAAAAATATCTAAAAAATATAGAAAACACAATATTTCAATAAATGTTCAAATAAATTGCTCACTTTAATGGGATACCCGACATTTATGGTTAGCAAGTTAAAAAAAAATCGGAAATTAATTTAAGTTAGACGGTATTCTTTAACACAAAGAAATAAACTTTAAAAAAGAAAATTAAAATTTCTTCACTGTTAACGTAATTGTTTATCTAATATAGTATGGAAATTCTGATATGATTGATCTTATGAAGCATTGTATATAATACTTTTTAAATTAGGTTGAATGCAGAGTTTATTTTACACGATATAACGTATTTAAACTAAATTAAACGGTGCAAAAAATCGAAACCGTTTAAACTCTGAGGATATTAATAATATGTAACACAAAGTGCAAACTATAATGTAAATATGAACTTCAGATTCACTGTAATTGTTAATGTATTATAGCTGGATGATCAATTAGTAAAACGTAATTTTCAAGTTCTTCGACTCAATCGCAATGGGCTTAATATTATTAGATAATATTATGGCCTAATATTATGACATAATATTATTTTGCTTATGAATAGGTGATTCAGCCGAGCTTTTGTTTTTTCGATGGCTCTCAAAATATGCGGGAAAATAATACTTCATGAGAGCAATCAAATATTTGGATGTTAAACTCACTTTTTGCTTATTTCATTAGAGCTCGAAAACTAAACAAGTAGCAATTGGAAATTTTTACAACTAATGATAAAATTCACTGAGATAGTTTAGAGTAAAAATTTATTTTAAGAAATTATTTATTATTTTTTATTAAATTTTTTACCACCAGTAGAAAAAATTTCGAATTGTAAGGTATGCAAATTCTTGCATCATCTTAAAGCACGAAAATTTAAATGACACACAATACAGAATGTGTATGAAATCGATTGAATAGTTGTCGAGAAATAAATGCAACTTTTTTAAAACTTCATAAATTATATGACTGTGGTTTTTAAATAATATAAAAAATTTCTTACCTTAGCAATTCAAAATTTTTCAATCATTATTAAATGATTTATCAAAAAGTAGTGAAGGATTTGCACCCCAAAAGTACTTATTTTTTAATTATTTTCCTGGTCTTTATGTATAGAATTTTAGTAATCATAATCACCACAAGTATGAGACTCTCCTGTTTTAACTTGAGTATTGTATAATTTATTCCTAAAAAAAGGTAAGCTTTGGGCACTGTTTATGTTTTACAGCAAATTCTGGAAAGGATCAAAAATAAATCTGAATCTGAAAAAAATACAAAATTATTCTAAGCAAATACTTAACTCGTTATTCAACTCTACTTAAATTATTACTTAAGATAATCTAACAAAATGAATGACTTTATTGTTGCCAATACAGACGTCCTAAATATATAGTACCGGTGACAATTTAATTGTTTCAATTTTTTACCCGGAGCCCTGGAATCAGAATATTTGACTCCGAGCTTTTTGAAGAGTTCGGCTGGATTCCCTGACTCCTCAAAAATTATGAATGCACTATTTTTAAATAACTATTTTCTTAAAATAGCATATTTTTACTTTTTATGAGCTGGGATTAAATTTAAAGGCGAATAGAACATTTTATATGACAAAATAATTATTTAAAAAAAAGAAAGAAAATATATTCGTTCGAAATGGTGAAGCTGTGCAACATTATAGATATTTTTAACACTCAAACTTTTCACGTGTAAACATCTTATGTGGCAATATTTTTAAAAAAATATATTCTAGAACTGGGAAACTTTTACAAACAGGATACATTTGTATATCTTTTCAATCAATTTTTCAAACGGGCTAAATGAATCAGTTTTTGGAATTTATGCACCGGTATAAAACATTGGGTGCAAAATGATCAAATGTGATGCATTAAATTTAAGTTAAATACTCGACACACTATTCATTTAAGTCATGCCACCTTCTAACAATGAATTTCTTTCTAAATCATGAGAGTAGCCTTTTGAGAATGAAGTCCGAAAAGTGCGCCCTTTATTTGACGAGAGAGCACCACTCATTCGACTCCATTTAGACAGATATCTGAAAGGGAAGGAACCTTCCGGACCAGAAGTATCCAGAGTCTTTTCTCTGACTCTTTATTCGATTTGTTTACGAATATAAATATTTATTTTAATTGGAAGTCTTTTTTATTTTACATCAATTTCAAGCAATTAAAATTATTCCTTTTTAAAAATAAAAAAATAAAAAAAGCATATATTTTTTGCATTTTCGCTGAAAACTTTATTTTTGCTATTCACCAATAAATGGGTAAAAAAAGTGGTCCTTTCGTCGAAGCAATCATGAAACAGGGTGCGTAGAATTTTTTAAAAGTGCTTAAAGGTGCTTATTTTCGTTTTTAAAAAGCCCTTTAAGGTGCTTTTTTCGTTGAGTGTTTTTAAAAAGTGCTTAATTTTCTCTTTTTCAAAATGAGATTTTTCCTTTACTATGCTGATTTTTGCTTCGAAATATGTAAAAAGACACATTGTTCTATTCAACGTTTTCACAATTAATTCAACCCCAATCTATTTCGGCGTATTGTCAGTCCTTAGCGCATGAAAACGCCATTCGTTTTACGTCATTCAAAATTTCATGATTTTTGAAAATTGCTAAAAATAATGTCAAAAAGTTTTTTTTTTTTTTTAACAAGACGTCTAAAACAAGATAAGATTGTCAATTGTCAAAAACTTTCCAACCCTGCCTAGTTATATTTTTTTTAAAGTGCTTAAAAATATTTTTTGAGTGCTTGAAAAAGTGCTTGAAAGGTGCTTATTTTTTGTTGAATATTTTGGCCACGCATCCTGTGAGAGAAATTTCCTGTATTAACTATTATTTTTATTATTCTGTCATTTTATTTGGTGGGATTTCTTAAAAATAACTGACAAATCAAGTAACTGACTGATCTAACAGATAAAAATACGTGATAGGTATTTAATTCTATTGAATATTTCCAGAGATTCAAGTGAAGAGGAGTTTTCTGTCCAGTCATCATCAAACTAAAAAAGAAAATATTATTTGATACTCCATGAATGACGATCGATTTTCATCAATAAATTTTTTTTTGATTATTTGGATCTTATTTCCTTTATTAAGTTTAATTTCAAAAACTTTAAAATATACAAATCTTTGAAAGAAATACTAGCGAGCAAACGTTTTTTTTTCCTCAGAAGAAAAAGTTAAGTTTGCATAGGTTTTAAAAAATATCTTCGTAACTTGTGAATACAGATTTAGGGTTTCAAACAGATTCGCTGTCCAAAACTGTCAAAAAAGTTTCGAAAAATAAATAATTCCATAAAATAGTTCAATCACTTATAATAGTAAAAGTAATCATTCAGTAATTATGGCATGTAAAAATAATATATAATCCACTTTTCACTGATATTTAATTTTTAATATGAATCCAATGTATACAGAAATCCTATAATTTATTGTAATTTTAAGATTACATTAATAATTATAAAAGACTGCATATGAATTTTTTGTATAAACTGAAATCGTATTAATAAAATTTCGTACTTAATAGCTTTCAACAATTAAAGGAAGTTATTTTTTTAAAAAAAAAAAAGAAACTATATACATTACAGAGATTAGGTTCTGTATTACAGTTGAAAGCGTCATCTTTATTACTTTACCTGCTGAACACTGTAAAAAAATCACTACAATAACTCATTTTTGGCAATTTAAAATATAAAGAATGAAATAAACCATTTAGTTAAATATATTTAATGGAGGCACATTTAATAATGCAGTCTAAAAAATTACTAATTCACATTATTGTTAAGTTCCCGAAGTTTTAATATTGTTTTAAATGAATGGAATAGAGAAGATTGTCACAAATCTCGTTTTAAGGTTAGAAGGTTTACACGTAAACCGTGTTGCAAAACTTTTTAGGTTTACATCAAAAGGTTTTTGTTGAGTGAAAATAAACCTTATTTTTCTATCTGGGAATAAAACAATGGAAGATGGGCAAAATTAAATTGTCACCACCAGATCGTCACTTTATCAATAAACATGGATTTCTTATAATGTATATTCTTCATTTTAAACCTTATGATGATTTGAATGAAATGCATTATTCTTGAATCATTTTTGAAAAAGCGGCCATTAGTTCCCAATAGCGTGATATTTTGACAAATCGGAACTTCTCGAGAAGTTTTTAGATTTATATGGATTATATTCTATAAACGAGACGGTTTCTGTTGTTGTAAAGTGGTTTCTAGGTTGAGGTCATTCTTTGTAATATCTTAATTATCAGGTGATACTAATACAGCGATATTGTTTTTACGCAACTGAAACCGGTTTGCACTTGTTTACGTTCGTATATCAAATGGTTAAATTAGACGATATATAATATAAATTGCTGTATCAATGGGTTAACATTGTAATGCAATACGTTGAAAATAAATACAAATAGAAAGTATATAAAAAGAAACTCTTGAATAAAAACCCATTACATGTATGTTTAAATATAAAGGTATAGCTTAGATTATTAGATATCCTATTTATGTTGTCTCATTTACCCCATTGATACACTAACGTAAGCAAGTTCGAACAGTCACGTAAAAAACAGTACATCTGCATATCATTATTACAATATAATACCTGATATAATAATTATTCTATAATATATCACCTAATTTAACCAATTGATGCACTAACGTAAACAAAACAAGTGCAAACAGTAGCGTAAAAACAATAAAGCTGTATCACCTGATCATAAAGATTTTACATAGAATCTTATAGAGTGCGTATAATAATTTATGCCAAGGAACTGTAAATAATTACTAGTAAGAAACTTCCAGGAATATTATCATATTCAAAGCAGCACCCACACAAATTTGCGTTTTATTTTTTCAACTTCATAAACACAGCTATTTGTAATGAGCTCTCATAAATAAGAAACAGTCCTTATGTAAACATCGTAAATTTTATTTAGTTTTTCATTTTACATTAATTGTGAATCATAAAAATCTGTTATCGTTGGGATTGAATCAATCATAACATTTTAACAGTCTCTTAAAAATCTAAAATGGCGGCGGCAGTCATTTCAGTCCTTCATTTATTTAAACTTTTTTCTGAAATCATTGTCGCAATCTCCTGTAAAAAGAATGAAAAAAAAATTATTATTATTCATAGTCACACTATAAGACACACAGAATGGCTAGATATTTTGAGTTTCCTAAATTAATATTTCAAAGTGTAGAATCTGACAAATTACAAGCCACTAGATGGCATCTTATAATAAAAATGCTATTCAGAGCCACTAGATGGCGTCTTATATAATGTAAACAGAAGATAGATTGTATTAAGAACCCAAAGAAGGCAGATGTTATGCTTCATGTGTAATGTACTGAAATAAAATGTTTTGAAACGAAAGCTCACCTTTGAATTTTACACAAAGTATCATTCACTTTTTGTCATAATCATAAATCATAAATTTCGTTTATCCAAAGATGAAGAAAAAAAATTATTTATTATTTAAATAAAAGTCTAGTTTTTAGTTTAGCTGAGATTTGCTGATCTGTTCCTTCTTTAAAACCTGTTTCTAAAAGAGGAATTTAGTGTTGCTCGAATCTGATAAGAACTTTATTCTATCTCAGTGATTTAACTCATAACACAAGTTGATGTCAAACTAATACGAAAGTTGAACATATATTCCATTCCATACAACCGAGAGTTTCATATAAAAAGTTGTAGTTCATTTACGTCAGCTGTACAATGGGCTATTGGCGACTGTCTGGGAAACAACCCTGAGTAGGATCCGAAGACATCATAATTTTGATTCTCTGCAGAGGGGATGGCACCCACGCTTCGGTAGCCCAGCGATCTTCACGAAGTCGAGCACTCTAAGGTAGAACAGTTTAACTAGGACCCATACCGCACACCCTCGGTCCCAACTCAGACTGTTCCAAGCTGCTGTTGGATTCTGGGACTGTATACTTTGTGCGATTACATATACCAGTGTTTCCCAAAGTGTGGTACGCGTACCCCAAGGGGTATGGGAACAATTTAGTGGGGGTACGCGTTCTTATGCGAAATATCTTGCAACAAACGAAAATTTCAAAAATTTTTATTTAAAAACAAAGGTAGTCATGAAAGCTTAAGACTACGTATTTTTCTATTGGCTATCTTTAGCAGAGTTAACAGTTAATAATTGGTGGTGTGAACAGATAGTTGTAGTTTTACACTTTTGTGCAATTTTTTAATAGTAATAAATACACTCATTTTTTTATGAGTGGTGCACAGCGTTACGAAAAATTTAGAAAGGGTACACAAAAGTCATAAGTTTGGGAAACACTGGCATATACGATGGTTGCTGACTTTACATTGAAAACAGAGTTTAAAAAAATGGGGCATCCATTCACTTGCGTTTGGAAAGTATCATTTTGTGTTATCTTTTGTTTCAAAAACTATCATACAAAGACTCATATTTTAACTTTTTTTTAATTTACCTAAGAAAACTCGAGATCACCCGATTAAATTACGTACTTAATTCACCCGAGATATAAGTTAAATATTTTTTACACATAAAAAAATTTAAAAATTCAACTTAAGACTTGTGCATTATGTTTTGCTTTAGTTTCTTGTACTTATTAATGAAATAAAAAAATAGGTTGATTTTTTTTAATTTTTTTTCTCCAAAAAATTGTTAATGGAAGCGGTTAAATGTAATTCACATAACATTGGCAAAAGTTATAGAATGAGTTCTGGAAATTAACATACTCACTTTATAGTTCAAGAATATATTTTAAAACAATACAGCCAGAACAAATAGAAATAAATTGTGAATAATGGCGTCTCACTTTTATAAGTAGCCACATAGCTCTGCAATATTATGAAAAGATGTTTATCACAAGCATTATTACCCCCCGAAGTCTTTTTTTTTCACACACTTATTTATTTTAGTATTTAAGTTGATAAATTATGAACATAAAGTGTAAATAAATGAAATTAAACTACATAAAATGCTTAATTTATAGAAAAAAATTTATTATTTAGATAGTTTTACATTGCAAAAGAGTTGTCTGTTTCACTTTCGCATGTAAAAACATTTCTATTGTATTTTGTCATAAGTTAAAAATTTCTACGTTTCAAAAAAAATATATTTTATGTTCTTATTATTTATTTTTTAAATTTTATTTATGTATAATGCATTTAAAAAAAAATAAATTATGAAAATTACATTTATGAAATATTCTGTTTTATAGGATTTAATTTACTTAAAATGCAATTTTATAAAATTTTATTTGCTTCAAATTTTTTTTAAATATAGATATTTGCGTGAAATCTGTTTCTATAAAATTATATTATATTTATGAGAAAAATAAATTTTTATTTAATTATATTTACGTGAAATTCGATTTCCTAAAAATTATATTTTTATAAAATTAATTTTAAAAAATTTGTTAAAAATGTATTTTTGTCATATGCATATGAAATTTCTTTTGCGTGAAAAACATTGTTATCAAAATCTAGTTGTGTAAAATATTTATTTTAATAAAAATTCTATTTTAAATACGCGAATATTTATGTAAAAAATAAATTTTGACTAAAAAAATACACGTAAATAACATATAAAAAAACAAGTTTTTTCTTGTAAACGTATGACCGAAATTAAAATATCTTAAACAAAAAAAAAAAAAAAAAACACAAAANAAATTCACGCAACCATCCTTATTATATTTAAAATAGCATCACTAAAATAGTAATTATTGGGAAAAGGATCTTATCAGTTGGAATTAATACCCGTTCTAAGAAATGATTAGAGAAAGAACACAATTAGGTGAGCTACTTCTCGTAAAAGTGTACAAAGAAAACAGTAATTAGAATTTTCCGCGATCTAGATAAGACTTCTATTTTATAGATGCAGTTAATATATATTTATATTTTTGCAGTATAAAGTTTTTTGTTTGAAGTATGGGATAGGAATTTTAAAGAATAATAAAAGAAATTTTAAAAATTACGTATTTTAATTCGAAGAAATTAAAAAGAATAAAGTGAAAAGAGATTATTGTTTGTAAACCAAAAAACACATTGTTTTAAAAAAATGGGGGATTAACAATGCATCCAACTTCTTTTCTTTAGTCTGCCTGAAAATTTTATATTTTATGATTTTCTTTTTAGTTTTGTGTGTGAGTTTAGTGAAGTCATAAAATCATCGGAATTTTGATTTGTTTGCACTTTTTAATTTGTTTGGATATCAGTGGCTGTCAAAATTTGATCTCTCGAGCCTAAATGCTGAAAGTAGCCTAAATGCTGACAGACGATTTATTCCGATGAATGATATAACGGAGTTCTTCTTGTAGCGGTAAAAGAAATGATCGAAACATGTATCCAGGAAAATGTCAAGGGGAAAAAATGTGAATAAAATTTAATGATAAAAAAACACTTTTACAACTGTACTTACTAAAGTTGCTGAATGCAAAACTATTAATTAACTGATAAACAAGTGTATCCATTTTCTTTTTGGCATAGAGTTGGACATAAAAAATGAAATAGTCTGCTTTTTCTACCCAAATCTTGATACAGCAGATTAATCTACTTTTATTGATATTGAGACGAAAAGAGTGTCTTAAAAATGTAAATAAGTGGATATTGCCTTAAATTTCTGATGCAATTAGTTACTCATCAAGTAACAATCATTATTAATAATTAAAGTTATCGGAAGCAGTTATGGTATATCATGAATATTAGAGGTAATGATATTTATTTGGGTAAAGTAAAAATAACATGAATTATTTAAACAGGTTACATCGCTTGATTGACACTCACTTGAGAGGAGGAGAGAGGGGAGTTCAGCAAAGGGAATGACATTGTACTGGATGCAGCACACCCTGTGTAATGCACTTCCTCATGCAGTCCGGACCCCTTTTTCTGAAATCAATTTGTAGCCTCCAAGGGAACATACCTCCATCTGGTTCTTCTTTATAAGATGCTACAACAAAACACAATAAAACTCACCTTAAATGAGAGATAATGTAATTTTATTAAGGTGCATATTCTTTGCAAATGAAATAGGTGCCTCGAGCGATTTCTGCACTCTCCTCACTTTTCCCCTCTCCACAACGGAAAATCTTATACTCACGGTCGTACGCTACTGTAAAAAGTACAAATGCACGAGACACTTATTTAATTTCCAAAGAGTATAAACTATTCTAAAACCAACTCATTTAGATTAAACTCTCTCTATTAAGAGACTAGGATTATCCCTCTTCTATGTCATCTATAGAATACTGTCTGCCAACCGATCTCTTTTATTCGTCATCCTCTTTATTATGAATTTTTAAAATAATTTTTGTAATTATTCTGAAGGCTTTATTTCAGTTCTAGTCATATTTTAGAGATTTTGAGAAATACTTTAAACGAAATGCCTGTTTTTTAAATAGTGTTAAAATTTCTCGATAGGTTTTAAAACGTTTATTTAAATTGAATCATTATTATTTTTATTACAATTCTAAAAGTAGACATTAAAAGATGATCATTCTAATATTGTTTTCAAAAGCTAAAGAAAAGATATTTAAATGGGTCCTCGTTTATTGCTTCGAGTTGGGAGGGGGGGACAGTATTTTTATTTTTTTCCAATTCGTACCATTTTCCTAGGGAAAGGCTTTGATGGGTAGACGGGGGTTCATGAAATCCCCGTGTATTGAATGATGCAATAACCCATAACATAACCTACTGAGATTATCTGGTTCCGGTCAAAATTACGGATGAATGCGTCCTTTCTATTATCCGTAGATACTGAAAAACACACAATCTGCCTTAATTTCTCATATCAGGCTTATTGGTATACGCAATCCATTATTGAGGTAACAAGTGTCTTCCTACAAAAATACTGTCTTAGCTACTGATGCGAATATCGATTTTTATTAAATGAATGCTTTTAAATTTAGTAATAGTAAAAAAAAGACATTTTGAAAATCCTATCTTTTAATGTCTATACATTATTTTATCTCGCTCCATTAACACTAGAAAGACGGAAAATTAGTACAGTATACCTATATTTCCCAAAAGCAGTCAAAATGACTGGATTGTGAATGCGTAAATAACTTTGTTTAAAATTAATTTTTAATTTGTATTATTTACAGTTATATAACAAGTTATTAGTAAATATTAACCATAAAAAAAATTATATGTGGTACAAAAAGTCACAAAATTCTGAGAAATTGTGTCATTATAAACATCATTGTTTTTTTAATTGAAATTGAAAGCAGTCAAAATGACTTCCTTAGTCAATCTAGTGTTAAAAAGGTCTACAATTTAATCGAAGTACCGAAATTTTGAAAAAATCGATAAAATAGTACACAGGGAGAAGCGAAATAAGGGAGCGATGGCTTTTGAGGAATGGTTTCTAAAAAAGAATGAAAAAAATTGGAACACCTCTGAAATATTTAGGATACATCGACCGAATGTAATATTCTTCTTATAAAAGTTTTTATTTCCCTCCAAATGTCTGATTTGTCAAACACAAATCGTGTCTAAGAAGCATGTTTGTTTGTGGCGGGAAGATATTTTGGCTGAAATGAAAATAATGCGCAAATAAATATTCAACAACATGCATTATTCCATGTGCTGTAAAATAAAAGCTGATTGTGCAGTTGCTTTTTCTAGATTAATTTTTTCTCCTTATCAAACAATATGTTTACCATCATGTTGGTACCTCTAATAGGGTTAAATTTGCTGAAACCTTAATAAATTATTAAAATGAGCAATGTTTCCATTTAAGTTGTTAGCACAGTAACAGACTTAGAGGTACTTGAAAAAGATTAAAATTTTATTTCCGCGAAGATTTTAGAAGGAAAAAACCTTGGAGAAAATAAATTGTAAACATTACGACTTTTTTAAAAATTGGGTAAATTATTTGAATGATTTTGTTCAAATTTTGCATTTTGTCATTTGAAGTCTTTAAAATTATACAAAAAATTTATATGCTCTATTTAAAATTCCATCGAATATTCCATCGGAAAATTTTTTTAAGCATTTATTGGTTTAAATTAATAATAAATTAATTAATACAAATAATTATTAACAGTTATCTGCCCAGATTTGTATTTGGATAAACTAATTTCATCATTGTGAGCAAGTATTTTTCGATTCATTGAAAACTTTTTGAGACATGCCAAAATCAACAATAATTCTGAGATTGTGGTTCACCTCCTCCCGTAAGAGAAAGTAATTTTTTGAATGCTCTAATTAATTAAAGTCGAAATATTTTTAAATTCCTATCATCAGATCAAAACTTATGCACATACCCTCATTGCCATAAATATTGTTGCAACGGATCCTCTATAGTTTATCAACCAACTGTGAGAAGCCACAAAGACTTCTGCTGCTATGGAAACAAGCAATTAGGGTAGCTTCTCTTCACTCTAGGACTAACACAGATTGAAGAAAAAGATTCCCTTTCTCTGGCGGACCAGACAAGGCCAAAACCCCTACTTGAAATAGTTACTATAGTCACGACCAGACGCAGATTGGAATCGCATTTTTGTTGTGGTGGATACACTACAGTACTTTCTAACCAGAATTATATTTGTGATAGAATTCGATGAATGGGATACCACTAGTTGATTCATTGCTGTTTTTGAAAGAAGCCGGGAGAGCTGTATTAAGATCACCTTCCTTTTGAATGCTGATCGTGAGAGCTGTATTAAGTTCACGGTCGTGGTCACTCCTGTGTTGCCATTAGCAGTCGAGTGAATACGTTGTACTTTATGTGTGGTAGAAACTGAGTAGCAACAGCACGAGGAGGTGGATAATGTCGCAGTCACAAGTAGCAAGCCAACTGTTCAATGTGGACCATCCATCGAAGTAGGTGTGTTCAAATCATAGCGGGCGTTTCTACCAAGGTAGGCGTGTTCATATCACGTCCGGGACACCAATGAGGGGAGTAATAGACCCTGTCAACAGTCATTTATGTAAAGTTACCCCATAAAAGAATCGAGTTAACGTGTCTACTGTGAATTGAAATTATATTTTTGTAGTGGTAGACACACTACGGGCAGTTTTAAGACAAACCATAGCGATTAGCATACAATTGATTCCTATGGTTGCTGTAAAAACACCGCTCCATCGAGATAGACTCGTTCGGTGAGAAATCTGGGACCGAGCTCTGCCTAGTTGAATTCCTGCCATGAAGGATGTCACGGGGGTGATCACAGCAGTTGTCCAAATTAATTCATCGGTCGCAGTCCAGCATGTACACAATCATCCTGTACTGATCCATTCTTAGCAAAGCCAGTCTTACTTAAGATTCATTTGTATTTTTCTTGTATTAAATGTCGTTTCATGTGTCTTCTGGCAACAGAAGATGATTTGAATGAAAGCGAGTGCATAGTTAAAAATATTAGTATGTAGGCAGGTTATTTGCATAGATTGCAAGGAGACTCATTTTATTAAGTGGACACTAACTCAATAAAATTTTTTAGTGTGTTCAATAAAATTTTCTACACACAAAAGTAGTGTGGACAGCCATGCCGCCGTTCTTTTGCACTACTTGGTGTTAAGTAGCCCATTTTTTATTCAGAAATATTAAAATTTATAATGTAATTTTTAATTGTTAATATTTACTAATAGCTTGTTATATAACTATAAATAATATAAAAAATATTACAAATTAATTTCAAACAAATTTCTTTACACATTATTAATTCTCTTACGATCCAGTCATTTTGACTGCTTTTGGACATTATAGGTATTTACTAAGTTTCAGTCTTTCTAGTGTTAAATAAGACTCAACAAATTATGCGGTATAAAGTCATTTAATACAATTCATAAAGATTAAAATATAATTATGAACACACTTGTTTTAACGGCTTTGTTTTGTCGATATATATATACTTATAGAACCATTTTTTTTTACTGAACATAACATACTAAAATCTTGTAAAATGTGGCTTTATTCATTTTGTCAGTATAGTTAGGAAGATCAAGCATTAAAACTGTGGTTGATTTCAAAAAATAATAATAATAAAACGAAGTAATAAACTACAAACACTGTGTTACGTAGTTATATTCATCAAATGAAGCAAATTGTATTAAAATCGATTTATAGCTTTCTAAAAAAATTAAGTTAGAATTTCGTCCCTCTATACGGAAAAAATACGGGCTCTATTAAGATCTTTTAAGTAAACTAACCCAGGAAGTTTTATCCTTGGTATACTAATAAAATGTAATATAATCAAATAAAGTTTCTCTATTTGGTTTTTTTTGTTAAACAGAAGCTTAAGGATTTATTTTTAAAAAAAGTTTCAGGAATATTTGAATTCATTATTGCTAAATTTAGTTTCTTCGCCAAATACATTAGATAGGGAAGAAGATCGTTTTAATTTTGTGGATACAAAAATTAAGTTCTTTAATAAAGAATTCTTGAACTAGAAGATTTTTTTTCCATTGCGAAATAAGTAAATATACACTTTCTGCCTACACTTTCAGCTGTGACAAAAAACTTAAGTATATAAATATTTTTTAAAAATATTTTAGCTTTGTTCTTCAGTTTAACATTTGTGCACTTTTTAGAATTATGTATTTCTAAAAACAGAGAACCGTTGTAAAATAAATGAAATATTTTTGAATTATTATTAATTTATTAACTATTATTAACTTTAATGTTATTTTATTAGTGTTCATAATAGGAATATTCCAGAACATTTTTCTATGAAAAGGAGTCATTTCGAGACAAATTTGGGCTCATGAATGAACTTTTTTTGAAGTATTTTATCTTTTAAAGTATTATGTTTTATAAAGTCCAATATAATACTTTATATAAGCGTTGCATGAAATATTATTTAAAATAATTTATTGTAAAGGACAGGCACTTCACTCTATTTTTCATTTTTTGAAGAAATTCCTCGCAAAATTCTTCTTTCGAAAAATGAAGTTAACTCATAAGTTTAAAACTGCAACTTTTTAAAAGGTATGGTTTTTGAATTTTTCACAAAAATGTGAAGTTTGTTTCGGATAATAAAAAATAGCATTTTGGCTAAAACAATCCACAAATTGAACCTTTATGTAAAAGATGGATTAGGATGATTTTCGTTCACTGTTGCAACACTCCCTAACGTTTGTGTTTCCATGTTCTTATGAGATTTTATTCTTTTTGCGAGCTTGTATTGTATTTTTTCCACCCCTATGTATTGGAAGCTTTTAAAAACTTAAATAAAGCAGCATCACGAAGTAGCATCTTAAATTTTTATCACTTAAAACTTTAATATTTGACATTACTTTTCTGCCACATAAGAACAAGTAATCTAGCAATTTTCGCTTTGGAAGAAAATGTGTGAAATAATTTGTTGCATAAAAATTTTTTTTTAATAGATCTGAAATTATTAAAGCTTAACAACATGAATGGTGTACACTAAATGCTCCATAAACGGACAATTTGAATTCTATAATGAAGAACCTTTGAAACAAAGAACGAATTTCGACACTGAAGAATATGATGCAAGCAAAACAACAGTCTATGTAGCATAATTGTGCTCTGATTTTTTACTGTCCATTTACTTTTCGTCGATTGTGCTCCAATTGCCTTCTAATTAAGGAAACATCACTGTATTTTTTTTCTTTTTGGGGGTATTTTTTTTAAAGGAAAATTGGAATAATAAACGAACATGCTTTTAAGTCAGAATAAAAAAAAAAGGGCTAACTCGGTGCTATGAACAAAGCAAAGCAACATGAAAAGAGCTAGAAAAAAAAAGATTTTTTCCCAGATCTATGGTTAAAGCTTAACAACAAGAAAAGAGCACAAGAAATGTGAGATAAACTGAATGATATTCTATTGTTTCAGTTCAATTATTATGAACCTTCTGCACACTTCATTCTTTGTTTCTTCATTGAAAATGGTTTTTGACTATAGAACAAATACTATAGTTTTTCCACTCATTTTTTACGTTGTTAAGCCTTATTCTTATCTGAGTTACAGCTTTCTTTGCTTGAAAACAAGAATACTTATTTACAGGGTATCTGCCCTTCTGGAAAGTCATGAGGAATCATAGAAAGTCATGAATTTCGGTACTGAACAAAATTTGTCGTGAAATGTCATGATTTTAACAATTTTTTTTAAAAAAAAATAATGGAAATTCATGGATTTAGGTCGCCGAAAAATAAAAATTTTTAAAATTGAATTGAACACTCCTCTAAGATTTCACGGTGTTCCGAACATCTGCATTTGTTACAAAATCCCCACTCACAGTCATATTTTATTAAAATATAAAATGTTTTCATCGTATTCTTTAAAAATGATGGTGTTCTTTAAAAATGATGGTGTTCTTTCAAAAAATTAAAGAAAAAATATCATTTCTAGAACAAATCATCTTTTAAACTTCTGTGATTTCAGAATTTTTGTAACTTACTTTTTTTTTTATCAATTTAAAGTTCTAACTGAAGCAAACCAGTCATTGACTGATTTTTTTTAATTCCGAAATGAGAACAGAAAAATCAACAGTGTGTCTTTCTTTTCCGATGAGCAAGAAAAGTATCTTTAGAATATAATTCTGCAGAAAATAGAATATTTTCTTTTGCATTTTTTTCAGCTATTTTGTTGCTTCAACTCTTTCTTTACTCTGTTTTTTAAATTTGAAATTTTTAAATATGAAGATGTAGAGTATAACAGTTTTGGTTTTACCTATCATTTCAGTGAATGTTATTATAATGCTTTTTAAATTTATTGTTCCGTTTTTGTCGGGGAAAATAATAACTTCGTCAAGTCATGAAAAGTTCTTGGAATGAGTCATGGAAAGTCATAAAAAGTTATGAATTCAGAAATCTGAAATGTAGTAGATACCCTGTATTTATTATTCCGATTTCCCTTTTCAAAAAAAATGCCAAAATTGTATAAAAAAATACAGTTATGTTTTTTTAAAGAAATAAACAGAAGCAAGTAATGAAATAATAACGGACATTTAATCTTTTTAACAGAAAATAATTCTCTGTTTTTCTCAAATGTGTCTAGTCACGAGATTGAAAATGGTACATGAAGGATTAAGCCGAACATCTGGTGATTTTTGGATTAATCCATTTCTATTTATAGAAAAAAAACGAACTTGAAACACCTCTAAGCCGTGAAATGTGTTATAAGATATAAAAAGGCTAGACAATAATTCTTCATGTTGCTAATTCAGCGTCTCAAAAAGGAATAACGAGACACACACGTTCTGAAGTTCCACTGTTCTCGATATTTTTTTAATAGGGTAGAATTGATTGCATTATTGCTGACGTCATAAGCGATAAAACCTTTGGTTTTTCGGTATTTTGTCCAAACAGGCTCCTGATTTAACTTTTAAAATGGAAAAATTTTGTCACCCAATTATTTTATGACTATCGATTTTTTAAGGACCCATAAAATTAAGATTCCAATTAGTTCTTTGCTAATTTTCAGAAACACACGTAAAACAATAGTCAAGAAAATACAAAACATTTTGAAAGGACACCTAAAAGTGAAAATTTCACTACAGAGGATAGGTTTACGTAATATAATATACTACTACTAATATACTATAATACTAATATACCATAGTATACTACTACTAATATAATCTACTAATATAATACCTAATATATTAAATATTATATATTTATATAATATATCGTCTCATTTATACAATTGTCGAATTTATATTATATATCGTCTAATTTCCCCAATTTATACAAGAACATAAGCAAGTACAAACCAGTTTTAGTCGCGTAAAAACAATAAAGCTGTATAGAGTATCACCTGATAATATAGAGTTTGCATAGAAATCTTAATAGTGCACCTAATCATTTGCCCTGGAACTGTATATGTATTACGAATAATAACTAACTGTTATATATAACTGGCCACTCGATTTGGAGCTTTAATGAAACTAGAATAGGAAAAAGTAATGAGAGTTTCATTTACTCACATGATGTCATGATATAAGTTGTAAATGTAATGAATTTTAACAACTTGGAATGCCTCTATAGTAAAATAACAAGTCCAGACACGTAAAAGAAATGGAATTTTAACAGTTTCACTTTGGTTCCGTATTGCTAATAAAGAACCATTCGTATATTTTTCAGAGTACCACTAAAAAAATACAATTCCAATTCAGTACAATTCCAAGACATGTTAACTCTTTCATAGATGACATTGTCGATAGCCCCACAGGAATAATATACATACTTTTTCCTTATCGTACATTAATTTACCCATTGTACGCTTAAATTTTTCTAGATATACTTCGCTTCGCAAAATTTTCTTGGAAACTCTGTTCCTTTCTAATACCGTGATGTAAAAAATAAATCATTGATTGTTAAAGGATGCATTTAACAATAAAATTTTACATCGATTGGTCAGAGAATTGGAGGAATGATTGACCCCACTAAGCAGTTTTCTTGCAGTTTGAGCAATGATTATTCAGAGCACTTACCGGTTTTGTGTATGGTTGCTAGGCGGTGATTTGTTTTCCAAAAGAAATGTGTCTGTTCGGGTAGAATTGGGAAAAGGGATCGGAAAAGGTTTCTCATTTCTTCCATGGCTACTTCTGTATCTTCCTCTACGCGGCCACCTTCTGCTGCAAGACACAATACAATATTTTACAATTGCATCTTAAACTACTATAGTAATCTAATTGAAAAATTCGGTTCTTATAAGCCTAATAGTTTGTAGGAACCCACTTGCATTTAGGTGAATTAGAGAAATTTCTTTCAAGCAGTTTTCAATGAGTCTAGAGTAATGAAAGTTTATCGGAGAAGTTAAGGCTCATTGAATCTAATCAAAAGAATTAAAATTAGATGCTTTTTTTCCATTCAAAAACTCCAGCAGATAACAAGGCTCATTGTATATAAGCCATAGAAAATCTAGGCTGATCTTGAGAATTCACTAAAGCATTTAATTTCAAAAAACAATTTTGAGCTATTTCATGGGTCTGTTATATACGATGCAATTTATCAGTGAACGACCAATTGGATTTGATTCAAACTGATCGCTGAATGATTCTCTAAAAACATAAAAGATTCAGTACATACGTAAAAGAAAAGCATTTATTAAGCCTTTTTCTATTCTAAAATTTATTCTAATATTGTTTTTTTTTTCATTATTTGTCCAGCCTCTCTAAAACTTTTTCATGTGTTGTTTATAAATCGTTATTAAATTAATCGTTCTCTGCTCTTATATGAATTTGAATCATCATCGATTGATAGAGCTAGTTTATTTATTAACATGATGAAAACGGTTAATAGAAATACGATTTCATAGCTGATTAGCATTTCTATCTTTACACGTTATTTTTTTTTTTGTATTTTAGACCCACAGAATTTACATTTATTTATTATTAAGGGGATTTACTCGCAAACTTTTCTTTACTCAAGAGATAATTAATTATGTGATAAAGTTGCATTTAGAATTAGAATGACAGAGACAGCAAAAAATGTACTTAGAGTGACAATATATCGCTATATTAAATTTAGCTTTATAACTACAGTTACAATAAGATCGTATTTATAATTTAAGTGACAGTTACAGTAAAATTGTATCTAGATTTAATACAATAATTGTAATAAAAACGTATATAGAATCAAGATGACAGTTACAACAAAATGCCATTAGAATTAGAACGATAGTTTACATTATTATTGAATTCGACTGATTCTGTCACGATTAGAAAGAATGTACACATAAGTATTGAAATTCTAACCCTATTTAATGCATTTCAAATGAATACTTGAAAGGACGAAGCTAATAGACCTCTGAAGGATTAGGATACTTTAGGTGAATACCTGTAAAGTTTTTTTGTTTTGTTCCTTTCTAAAACTTGATTTAAGAACAGCTTTTAAGAATACAAATGGATCGAAATCCATTTTTTTTCTTCCCTTTTTGTGGAAAATCTTCTGCTTGAAAGCTTCCTTTAAATAAAAGTACCCGAATTTTCTTTCTCCATAAGGAACTTTGTTCAAAGTTTTAAAGAATATTATTTGGCTGGTTTTTAAAACTTTCTAAGTATGCTTTATGAATTATGTTTTTAACTCTGATAAACACATATTCTCAAAAAGCAGTGGGAGCATTGCGTGCTCTCACAATGTTTAAATATATTTAACATTAAATTTATAATTCAGTCTAGTAATAGAATTTAATATAAATTATTGCGATAGTTTTCTGTAAATATTCCTTTCGACCAAAAGGAGCCATTTTAACTGAGCTAACTTCAAAGGTGTGACCTCAAACATGCGTGAAAATAATATTTTTTTAGGTTGCGAAAACAGACACAAAAACGTACTTTCTTTCAGTGGACGGATTTCTGATCCCCAAAATATAGGCCGCAATATGGTGGACCAAATTTAAAGTTTGGACCCCTTTTTGCGTATTTCACCGTATCTAGAGAACTTTTTAAGCGAAGGGAAGAATTTTAAAACACAATTCGTTTATCAAAAGATAATTCCATTGCAAAATATAACTTTTCGAAAATTAGTATTATTTTATTTAAAAATTTTAAAAAAAATCGAAAAGTCGAAAAACTTTTAAATTGAAATGTATAATTTTTTTTTTTTACATTATTTTAAAGAGAACAATTTTGAACACCAAAATACAAAATTTTATTCAACTTTCTCCTATAGTTCCCGAGAAATCAAATTTTAAAAGTGTGACGTTTTCAAAATTCGAAATTTAAATAAGTGAAAAGCAAATGAATAAAATAGGGTTCTTTTTAATGTCTAATTTTTTAGTTATTCTAATATTTTGAGCTGTCGCTCAAATATCGCGAGAAAATTATGTCTATAAAACATAAACAAATGCCCCGTTTCTCAAGGTTGTCGATGCATTCTCATTGGATAGAAGAATCACATGATGGCATTTTAAATTAACAATGAAAACTCATAAAACTTTAGCTGTCATGAGCATAAAATTAACGTTATTTATTTAATGCTGTTTTTATTCTTATCCATTTTGGTAGCAGAGATATTTAATCCGTAATTGCTTAAATTATATTTCATTATTGTACTATTTATATTTAACTTGTCAGCTATTTTTGTAACATTTATATAAAAATAGAAAGAAACGATTTTATTCAAAATGTGGTGCAAAACTAAAAGTGGTTTTCCTTTATTACATTATAAACTAATGCTATATTATTTTATTGCGCTGCAACTGTTCATTCAAAACATATTGTATTACTCATTTACAACTACAAAATGATAAATTAGTTATCTCGATAATTTTTTTTATGTAAACTAAATGCGAGACTGTGTACAGTCAACAAAGACTATTAAAATATATATTCCATAAAACAATTATTTCAAGTTGCAAAGAAATGCAATACCATTGATAAACAATTTCTTCAACAAAAAAAAACGTAAGGAGTTTTAACCGAAAATTAAATAAAAATTTGAAAGAGTGGAATGGTAAGTGGGAAAATGAAATTGTCCTAATAGAATCTGGAATAAAGTCTGTGGAACCAAATCTATGTTAATAGAAAAAACAGTTTTGAATCTTTAAATTAAATAACGTCTAGTTTTGATTATCTTGTTAGTTGCTAAGAAACAATAAGAAGCAATTTTGGGTGGGGAGAATATGCTTCAAATGAATACATATGTATTTAGATAAATGATCACAAAGAAATCATATATTTTGTGTTAAACAAAGTTTTGAGAAGAAACAACTTTCGAAGAGAACTTTTTCGTTAAATAGAGAGTCTTTTCACATTAAATTGTCTTTATCGTTATTTAGGTTCTTAAAAAGTTACAAAATAGTAGTTTCTGAATTTTAAAAGTTTTTAATGCTTTATTGTATTTTGGAATACATGTTCTTACTTATGCATTTTATAAAATTCTTTTCATAATTTTAAATATTTTAGATTCACTTAAGACCGCTAAAAATAGCTCAGTCGATTCGAAATAGTTTTTGAATCGTTTCTTTCAGTCATGAAAAACAGCTTTCCTGTTTCTAATTTTTAAGCGCAACTAATATTTCAAAAACAATTTCGAAATATGTCCTCCATTTTGAAAAACATCTAGTTGGCGCCATAAAAGAGTCATAGCTGGAAAGGAAAAACCGATGCGTACCACCCTATGTAACTTTTGATCTAATATTCGGATTTTTGCTTTTATGACTCAATTTTTAATGGTTCGAGGGGGTTAATTAATTAGTGCAGGCGGTATTACGAAATCAGATCTAAAAACGTACATTCTCTGAAATAAACGTACCTTTTTTTCGGACTTCTGACCCCTAATGTAGAGGGGTTAGCCGCGATCTGGGAAATAGGATCCCCGTAGTTTTGTCAGGAGGGCGGTCCAAAGTGTGGATTCCCGCCCCATCTCAAGATCTTTTTAAGTAAATTGAAAAATTTTTGCACACAATTGTAAAATTCGTTTTTCTGAAGAAAATTCATTGCAAATAATGAATTTTAGTAAATATTTATTATTTTATATTACTTTATTTAATAAGAGTACTTTAATTAATAAAAATTGTAATGCAAATTTTTTTTCTTCATGATTTTAAAGTATGCAATTTTGCATGGCAAAATACAAAATTTGGACGAATTCGGCAGAATAGTTCCTGAGAAATTAAATTTTAAAAATGCGATTTTTTTTCACATTCTAATTTTTCAGAAACTATTTGATCGATTTTGCTCAAAATTTAGGCTTCACCTCTTAGAATTAGATATTTTGAAATGATGCAAAAAATTGTTTGCCTTGCAATTCAATATTTTCCCCACTATTATTAAATGAAAACAAATAAATATTTACTGAAATGTATTTTTTGAGTCAACTTATCTTTGGACAAACGAATTTGATAATTGTGTGAAAAAAAATTCAATTTGATCAAAAAATTCTGGAGACACGGCGAAATGCTCAAAAAGTAGTACATTAACATTAAAGGGTTCAAATATTGGATCGCTCTCCTGACAAAACCATTAGATTACCTGGTTATGTCTACCTCCTATATTTTGGGGAATCAGAAATCCGAATCCGTCGAAATATTTTTTTCAGAGAAAGTACATTTTTGTGTCTGATTTCTTAACTTAAATTATCGTCTGCACTAATTAATTAGCATATTCAAAGTCACCCCCTCGAACCATTAAAAATTGAGTTCTAGAACGTGAAGATTCATCCATTAGATGAAGTAATTCACGGGTGGACTGTTTTTTTTTTTTTTTTTTTTTTTTTTTTTTTTTTTTTTTTTTTTTTTTNTTTTTTTATTTATTTATTTATTTATTTTGGCTCATTATACATGTGTCTTCAGATTTTCCATAGCTGAGATGATTATTTTACAAATTAATTTTTTTCCATTTGTAGGTTAGGTAAAAACATTTAGTTCGTACCTCAGAGATAGGGTTTATCTAATTTCATGAGACGATCTTTTTACATCATCATTGCAAAATTGGAAAAGTTTAGTTTTGTTAGAAATTAACGAAGACACTCGTGGATATTCTTAGAAGAGTACGATTCTGTTAAAACGAGCTTGAATTTCAGAGATTTTGAAAACGCTCTCTAAAGGAATTTAACATCCGTATCATTTTCTTTGGCAAAGCTCTCCATTTTTATAGTAACACTGCTTTATAAAAATATTACGCAGACG